TGCCTTCAGTTTCAGGAGTATTGCCACTTCTTCCTCCAACTGATCTGCCTCGCCCTTCTGGTGCTTGAGGCCACGCACATGCTCCCCTTGAAGTCCCACCAGCTCCTCCAGTGCAGCACGATTTGCCATCCCGATGGCCAACTGGACCTGAATGCTGTCTATTTGCACTGGCCTGTGGAGACTCATCCAGAAAAAATATTTCTTTGAAAAATATATGCATGTTCTATATCATCTACAAATATTCGTAAGATGTTGTCAGAAGGCCAGATACTGTACTGCCAAGATTTCTGTGGCATGGAAGAATATTTGATTAACTTTACCGGTGAGAAGTAGGGTCAAAAATTAATTGAGTCATTTGCCAATCAGATAGTCTTACTAAAGCTGTAGCCTTAATTGAGTGTATTGATATATTTTTAGTTTTAGTTTTTCAGAACCAAGGATTGAACTCAGGCCACTGAGTTTGCCAGTGATACACTTATTCCACTGAGCCATCTCCCTGGCCTAGTATTAGTATTCCTTGAAATGAAATGTGTCGCTTAGCAAAAAACAAAACAAACAAACAAACAAATAAACAAAAAAACAGGGGCCTTTCATCAAATCTTCTCTTATCCTCATGAATCCAGACCTGTAGAAATGTCATTTAAACACACTTAAGTCTTGTATTTAAGGATCTTGAGAGCTGAAAAATGTGTATGAAACACCTAGTTCAGAGCTTAGTACACAGTAGGCACAATAATAATAATAATAATAATAATAATAATAATAATAATTAATAATAAAGTGATTCAGAGAAAGGAACTAGGATAGATTAAAGAGGAAAGGACAGTAGGGAAAGGGGAAAAATGCCAGTCAGTTACATGATTAGTGTCTCTCAGATCATTAAATAGGAATGTTTGTGCTAATATTGGTTGGAAAAATTTTATGTCCATATATTATACACTGAGATAACAACATGCAGTGTTTTAACTGATATACTCCTATTATTTGTTATGAAATTTTGTTTTATCTTTTTCCCACAAACTAACTAAATAAATAAAACTATTCAGCAGAAGGTGGACATGGGGAGAGAAAAGCAGAGACGGTGAACCTATGAGAGTGGGTTCCCTCTCTATCCCCTATCTCTCCGTTCACTGCACCATCTGCTATGACCTTATGCTAAGCCTTAGGGACAATGTATTCTTACACTGCTTTGGAAGCTTCATAGAGGTCTGATGTCCAGGAAATTTTATGAAGTGAGAAACACCGCAAGGGGACAAAAGGAAAGATGAAATGGCTGAATCTCAGGTTTAGACATAAAGCAAGATGTCAAAAAACAGACAAGACTCAGAGGTCTGTGAAGTTTCAGACAGGTACACTTTTTAAAATCATCTTTTTAATGACTGGAGGACAGTAGTGATAACAGCAGTAACAGAGGTGGCAGCAAATACTAGCAGACACGTGTACTCAGCACGTGCTGATATATAAGGATCAAATTCCTTCTTTTTTTTTTTTTTTTTTTTTTTAGGGAAGGGTCTACAGGGTGTTCAGGGTCTCACTACTATATCAGACTTGTAGTGATTCGCCTGCTTTTTTGGTATAGGGGGTTGAACTCAGGGCTTTGTGCTTGCCAGATGGACACTGTGCCACCACGCTACATCCACAGCCAGCACGTGCTGAACGTGACCTCCCTTGGAGCATGACGGTAAATGGTGCTGGTTCCTGGCGCAGGGTGTCCAGCTCCAGGCTGGCGGCATGATGAGCACCCAGAATCCCTGCTCCACACTGGGAGACGCCAAACCCAACAGATTTGAGGCAAGTCCTGGCAGTGTGCATTTGAAGCCTGTGATTCTGAGGCACAGATAGAGCTGGGCATCTGTGAAGCCTGGGAGGAAAGACTTCTTCCTAGGGGAGGCAGAGACTGGAACCAGGGGAAGATGAGTACCAGGATAGGGGTCTTCTGGCTTAAGGATTAGAGTAAAAATTATTTTGGTAGGCCCTTAGGTGATGCATGAGGCATTATTACAAATGAGGCCTCATACAAAAAAGAACTGAGTTGCTGGTTGTCTATTTACTACCCAATTTTAAGATCTATCTATCCATCTATCTATTATCTGTCTGTCTGTCTGTCTGTCTGTCTGTCTACCTATCCATGTGATAGGTAATAACGAATTATAGAAATTTATAAAAATGATATCTTCTTAGAGTAGGGTCCCATAAAAATAGGATAAATAGTAATTAGAAGGCATATAAGGGTACATTCTAAACAGAATCTTATTTTGGAATTGAAGTGGTCCTGGATGGCAGCTTCACAGAGCGAGCCTGTGTGTGATAGGAACACACGAGGGGAATAATGTCCCAATAGAAGTCAGCCACCTCCTGGGTTTAAGAGCTTGCTCAGTTGTGCAGAGTAAACTTTGTGTTTGTGATAATGATGGCTGTGACCATAAGCTCAAGACAGGCATCAGTTTCTTCCTTCACTCTTCCGGAAACTCTGAGGGTTTAGAGTTCGTGTCTTTGGAATGGACTGGTGAAACCTCTGGTGCAAGACCGACTTCCCTGTTTTTTTATTGTCTCTCCTTTTTCCTACTGAGGAAGATGCAGACAGGGAGGTTTATGGGTCTTCTCCACCAATACTGCATGGTGTCTAACACACGAAGAGTCTCCACGGTATGCTCAGATAGACAGGCAAGAAGAGAAGACAGGCTATATTACATTTCACTATGGAACGTGCTGCTCACATAAGGTTCCTGAGTTGACTTTTTAGACCAGAGTTTAGACACAAAGCTTCCTCTGCTTGAGTGTAAATGGGCCTGATTCACATGCAATGTGCATAACTTACAGAGACCCAGTTAAGGCTCAGAGCATCCAGGGAATGGAGTTGAGGCCAGGACCAGGCAGGTACAGACCTCCTCATCCCTCTCAGTACACTTGTTCCAAGGGCCTCCAGCTAGATAGCAGATCCAGCTTTAGGTTTTTCTGCTCTTCCTGGGATCTGACATGGAGGTAGCCCATCAAATCCATAAAATCACCACAGACTGTCTGAAGTCGAGAAACCTTTTCAAAAGGCAAGGACCAGCGCCAAGCCTGGGAGACGTTGAGGGCGTTCCTGGCATTTGTGTGGAAGGCATGCTGACCCATACCCTTGCCCCGCGTGATGTTGTGCACCCAAGTCTGGAGATGAGGAAAGAATTTCAACCCCACGAACTCATACATCCGGGAAGTCTGGGCCAGGGGCATTCGCACCAAATCTTCATAGCGCACCAGCAGGTAGCGCCGCCGTAGAGCCTCAGGCAAGAACTGGATAGCCTTAAATATCTCCATCTGACTTTGGCAGATAATCTGCATGGTTTGATATGGCCGGTCCTCTTCCTTGAGCATTTGCCAAAGCTGCCCCAACACCATGCGACTGTCAGTCATGAGCTCTACTGTGGTGTGTTCTCGAGAACGGAACACAGCCCGGGGGTCCCGGACCAAGTGCACGATGTGCAGGTTGAGCATGGGGTCCATGAGCAGCGGGTGAAGGGACTGCAGGTTGAAGAAGCGCACCTCCTTGAGGGCCACGTGGCTGTAGGAACGGCAGGCCTCCTCCACCCCTTCGAAGGGCTGCTGATGGCACAGGAGCTTACAGTGAGCATGGTAGGTGATGTTGTCCCGAGGGAAGATGTTGCAGGCAGGAGGGGAGCAGAGGGCCCGGCTGTGTTCCCAGTGGAAGAGGATGGATTGTTTCCGAGGACCAGGATTCATGTACGAGTCGAAGACGCTCATGTCGCACAGAAAGACTGAGCGTAGCAGATCGCGCACGGCCATGTGCAGCCTCCAATAGGTGCTCTGGGTGAACGTCATCCACACGTGCCAGGCGGGCTCCATCAGGTAGAAGACATCTGGGTGCTGTCCAAAAAGCTGCCCTACAAAGGAAGAGCCAGAGCGCCAGGAAGACAGGATCAGCACATGCACGGGTCTGGGCTCCTCCTTCCCAGGCAGGGAACTGTCATACAGGTAGATGAAGAGAGCCAAGACAGCTATCTGCAAAGCCAGAAACAGGAGCAGCCTCAGTTTTTTGGGCAGTATCATTGTGCTCCAGTGGGACACCTTGAAAGAACAAGCAAAAGGGGCTGAGTTAGGCTGCGCTGTGGGCATCTGCTTTCCTTCTCCTTTCAAGCAAAACCCCCTTCCCCACCCCTCTGCAAAGAGCAGGGTAGGAAGTCCAGACAATCCTACAATCCGTTGCAGAAATCCTTCTCTAGATCAAGTCTTGTCTCCTATTATTTATATCTTTTAGGGTCTTTAATTCCTCCCCTTTGATTGTTTTTGGCCACCAGACTACCAAGGATACCTAATCAGGGGAAGGACTTCCCCATGGCACCATGGTGGTATCTTCAAAGAGGCCATGAAGGCAAAGCTCAATCTCGGTGTGACCTAAGTCTTGGTTAAAGGCCTTGTGATCCTCCTGAAACCAAAGAAGTGCCACCCATGAAAGAACACTCCAAGGCCGCTTCTCATGGTCCCACCCTGGATTGCCATGGGGCCCTTTGTACCCATCCCCCCAATTTTATGTAACCATGGGACATTTCCTATTCAGTCTCCCGAAAGACTAGCCTGTAGGCTATAAAACTACGTGGCTTTAGAGTTGTCTTTTCAATGTGATGGGCACTTGCTGTTTGGTCTGTTCTGGTTTAGTCTCATCCTATTGTACAAAGGATGTAGGGGAGCCAATTCAATGCTAAGCTTGTGTCTGTGTAGGTAATAAGTTATCTGAATCTGTTTTTTGAACAATCATTACTTCCTTACCAGCTGACTGGAAGTGTGTTAAGCCAACCTAAGAGCTGTCATAGTGGGGTCCTTTCACCGCTGTGCAGCTGCTTGCAGGAGGCCTGACCACTCAGCAATACGTGCTTAGTATATGGGCAGGTTGTGTACTGAACCAGCCCTGGAAATGGCCATGTCATCAAGAATTAAGATATTTATTATTTCTAAAAAAATCTCTATAGCTGGGCATGGTGGCACACAACTGTAATCCCAGCATTAGGGAAGCTGAGACAAGAGAATCACTTCAAGGCCAGCCTGCACTACAAGGGAGTTCAAGGCCATCCTGAACGGCATAGCAAAACCCTGTCTCAAAAACAAAACAAAAGCACTGCAAAGACCTCTGTAATGATAGTGAAGTGTCTTGGTCTCGTCAGAAAAGCCTATTAGAATGGCTTTCCTATTATTAGATATCAAATAAAGGGTTTCCATTTTATAATTGACATGAAAGCCACACAGGCTGACGATAAGCCTAAACTTAACTCCTTTTGCTGCTAGGGCTGGCTTGTTATGGAAGGCCATTGTCCTCAGTTCCGTGCTAGAGGATTAGTTCTAGGGAAATTTGAACCTTGTTTCTTACATGAAGCTAGATTACTCTGGGTGATCCTGACATAAATGCACTAGCTACTGCACATAGTATAAATACTAATAGTGGTGAGGTGCTAATTTGCATTTTACTATATACTCAAGAAAATCCCCCTTCTAGCTTTAATAAGGAAGATAAACAATGCTGGGAAGGGTGGCGCATGCCCGTAATTGCAGCACTTTGGGAGTCTGAAGCAGATAGCTATTCCAAGTTTTAGCCCAGCCTGGGTAACTTAGTAACTTAGAGAGAGCTGAGTGACATGCATTCTAAAAATAAAAAAAAAATCATTTTTGAGATAGTCTCACTGTGTAAAGGGCAGCAATCCTCCTGTCTCAGCCTTCCAAATACTGGGATTACAAGCATGTGCTGCCACACCCAAATTCAAATATTTTTTGAAAGGGCCAGATGTGTAGCTGAGTGAGAAGGCTCTTGTTCAATCCCTAGTACAGAGAGAGAGAAAACGAGGAGAGTGAGAGCAAGAGAAAGAGGGAAAGGGAGAGAGAAGGAGAGAGAGGCAGAGAGATGGAGAGAGAGGGAGAGAGATTCCCATTCTATTTTCCTGTTGACAAATTACCAATCATTAAAAAAGTTTTTATTAGGTAATTGTACATGGCTGAAAGTATTTTATTTTATTATTATTTTTTAACGTATTTAGTACAGGGTCTACAGGGTCTCACTACACAGATCTGACTCATGGTGATCCTCCTGTTTTCAGCCTCCCATGCACTGGGATTACAGGCGTGTGCCACCATGCCCAGTCTCAATCACCATCTCAGTGTGCCCCAGGGGCAGGGCTGGCATGGTACCCCAGGGATGGAACCCCAGTTCCTGCATCTGCCTAAGCAGATGCTTTAATCCACTGAGCTATCTGACCGGCCCTTTGGCTGAAATTACTTTTTTTTTTTTTTTTGCGGAACCGGGGATTGAACTCAGACCCTTGTGCTTGCCAAGGAAGCACTTATTCCACTGAGCCACCTCCCCGGCCCCTGGAATTACTTTAAAAGGGTCATTCTTATGGGTGGCAAGTCTACACAGGCTCAATATGTAAAATGAAGCTTTCCTAACATTCTGCATGCAGGAAGGAAAGATGGGAAGTGTCGCACACCCAGACATTTAACACATATGACAAGGAAGGGACAATCTTGCAGGCCCAAAGGAGGAGCCTGCAGTCATAAGTAAGAAAGCCTCTAGAATGATTTGTAGACAGGAATGATGACTCATCTTTAAAAGGAGTCAATATTTTGCTGGGGAAGGAAGACAGAAGGATTTCACTAGTTGCTGGATTGGTAACCTCCATGTCTTAACCACAGTTAGTGTTTATCTACCAGCTGGTGTCTTGTCAGCGTACAGTGAAAAGCCCACCTCTCATACTTGCCTCCTTTCAGCTTATTTCCCAATTTGCCCCTACTTAGCAGCTGGGTTTATTTTTTTGTGTGTGTATTTTAGTTGCTTTATGTACAGACAAGATAATTCAAACATATATGTAGTCATAATTTTTCCCCCTTTAAAACCTACACACAAAAACAGTAAGTTATTTCCCTCTGCAGCACCTTAGTTTTTCCCTCGTAATATGTCCTGGGGCACTTTTTATGAAATACACCAGGAGTTTCCTTGTTCCTTTCTACCACAGAGATTCTATTGTACATATATACAGCAATTTATTGAACCAGTTTCCTCACTGGTGGGGTTTTAAATCTTTTGTCATTTCAAATGCTTCAGCAATGACCTCCGTGTCCACATATCTCTGCACATGTATGCAAGAAAAATTCCTAGACGTGTGCTTACTGAGTCAGAGAATGTGTGCGTGAGGGAACTTGACACCTACCACTCAGACACCCTTCACACGGGGCACAAACCATTTCCTTTGCTAGAGCTCCAGAAATATTCAAAGGTGGATTTTACAGGATGAGTTGAGCAGCCTGGGATGTGAGTCCTGGAGTTTGCAGCTTGCTTCCTGAAGAAGCTTTCGCTTTGCTTCCGTGGAAGTCCCCTGACCCTTCTGGGAAGGGTACAATGACCCAAGCGGCCTTGTGTGGCCGTGGAAGGACATCTCTTTTCATCTATTCATGACAAGGATGGTTTTCCCATGGACATGCCACAAGCATCTAGTGAAGATCCTCTCTTCTTCACTGTCTGCTGGGGAAATGCTAGTGGGTGGTGATTTCTATCTTGTAGTTTTGGCCATGTGGAGTAGAAGACCAGCTAAAATAGTCTCCTAGTTCTTAAAACTTGAGATCAAGATAGAGTGATTAAAAACTAAGCCATTATTGATAATTAACATTGATAAGCCCCCCCAAGGTGGGCCACATGACCCGAGCACAGGAGTTTCTGCTTAGGCACAGTGAGCAGGAGAAAGAGTTTAAGCTAAACATAGGAAACAATGGAGCAAAAGGGGAAAGGAAATGCGAAGTTGGCTTGTGCACAATTGGAGGGAGACTCAGAATTTTTCTAAGCAGGGCCAATAATTGCTGTAGGAAAAAGCTAACATTTCCTGGGGATTAGGAAAGCAGGCCTTTCAACGGCCACCTTCCCTCTCTCCTTCTTAGCTTTGGGCCAACGCTGTCCTGTTGGGCTCAACAGCACTATGCCCTCCTTGCCTGCCAACTGCCCTTGGCCTCGAGCCCATTCCCTCCTCAAGCTGGAGCTGGGCCTCCTAACCTTCCCCAGCTGTTCTCAGACTTCAGGTGGCCACAGTTCTCAGGAATTCCTGCAGAGTTCTTTCTTTGGTTTTATTTTTCATGAACACTTTCCCTGGCTAGAAAAAGTATGTTTTTGTGAAGCAAGTTGTGTCCAAGGCCTCTGGGCTGTGGACAACACCTGGGAGGCTGCCAGGACACCACGGAACTCTGCGGACTGCAACTAGCAGTGGAGGCAGATGCTCCTCAGGCCCTGGCAGAAGTGAGGGGACACAGGCAACACTGCGCTCCCTGGTGGAGAGGAAGCTCTTGGGGTGCACCACTGCACCACTCTCTCCTAGTGCCAAAATTCCCAGTCAGCTCGTCTCCAGTCAGCAGCAGAACAGCGCCTTCCACTCTGCCTCTCAGCATTCTTCATCGTTCACTGCTGCCCAAAGCTACCTTCTAAAAGCACAAATCTGCCATTTCTCTGTTTAAAAATCCTTTGGTAACCTTCCACTACACACAGGATTCAGCCCAGACCTCAAGCCTCACGCACACAGTCCTTGACGGTCTGATCCTTGGTTTCCCCCTCACTTTTTTAGTACCTTCAGCTGCAGATTCAACTTTTCAGTGCTTCAAAGCATGCCCTATTATTTAGGAGCCCTGAGACATTGGCAGAAGTGTTACTGGTCCCTCAAGCATCTGTCCCCTGGCCATTTTCTCCCCTAAAGAATCTCCTTTCCTTCAAAACATTTCATCATCATCAGTCTCACTTTGCAGGAAACAGCTGTGTATGCATGTGTCATTCCAGTGAACCACTAGAATTTAAAAGAAAGGCAGTGTTTCATCTTGCATATAAGTGTACAACAATTCCACAAGTGATTAGGGTTCCTCAAACACTTGTCAAATAAATGAAGTCCATAATCAGATGAGTATGGGAAGAGATGTAGTCATTGCTAGAAAGACGATAACCAAATGAGCTTTGTTAGTTATCCTTTCCTCACTGGGAGAAAATACCTGAGAAAATGAGCGTAGAGGAGGAAAGATTTAGTTTGGCTCATAGTTTCAGAGGTTTCAGGCCACGCTGGCTGACTGCATTGCGTTTAGGCCTGTGGCAAAGCTGAGACATCACAGTGGAACAGTTCAGTACAAAATAAACTGATCACCCCACATCAGCGAGGAAGCCAAGAGAAAGGGAAAGAGCCAGACAATAAGCTATCAGCCACACAAGGTCACACAAGGTCACAGCCACAGGACCTACTTCCTTCCACTAGGCCCCACTACCTCCCTGTTTCCCTGAAAATAAGACCTATCTAGAAAATAATCAGCCTTGAAAACCGGATCTCAAAGCTGCCAGCCCCAATCAGCCTGCTCTCACCCTATCTGCATTACTGAGTAGCCACCAAACAAGAGGATAGTCGAGGCTGATTATTTTCCAGATAGATCTAGTTTTCAAGGAAGCATGGTTTTTCCACCACCTCCCAGTAATACCAACAAATTATCATCTCACTAGTGAATTGATTAATCCATGGGTGAAATTAGAGTTCTCATGATGATCCCCTTTCAAAAGGCCCATCTCTGGGGCTTTTCTATCTAAACCATAACAGTGTTCCTTCAAGAAACTGAAACTTGGGGCTGGTGAGATGGCTCAGTGGTCTAAAGCACCTACTTAGAGCAAGCTTAGCAAAGCGCAGGGACCGCGGTTCAATCCCCCAGCACCACATGCCAGCCAGCCCCGCCCCCTGGTGGGCTGAGCTGGCCACACACACACACACATAAATAAATAAATAAATTAAAAAAAAAAAGAAACTGAAACTTATAAAATGCATGTGGAAAGTCTTTAGCATCAGTTATTAAAATGTAGGTGACTGTGGAATACTGAGCACATGACCAACACTGCATCAGTTGCAGAGAGCAAGGTATTCAATTGAGGGCATAGGTTTGGAGATGTATGGGATAGTCAACTTCTTCCTAAAAAAATAACTTCTACACTGAGCATGAGATAATTCAAACTAAGAGAAAGAAACTCATGAAAATCATTTTAAGAGAAAAATTTAGTGAAAAATAAAAGTCCCCTGGCAGTGACACGCAGCCCCGTCATAACCATCTTAGTTACAAGGCGGGCAGGGTAAAAGCAAAAAACAAACTGAGCTCTTCACATCAATCCCATCCACAAAGGAGGGGATCGGAACACTTGTTGCCACCTTGATGGGTGACTGGTGTCACCTTGGAGGCCAAAGAAACACCATTGCCAAAGAGTCAAGAGAACCTTTAGGGTTCTCCTAAAATACCTCCAAAGGGGTGGTGATTAGGGAGAGCCTTCGGGGGGCACAGAGCTCACGAAGGCACCTTCATCCAGCAGCCTCCTTCCAGGGGACTGAATGTATAGGAATCCCCAAGATCAGTGCCATGTAGGTACTGACAGACAAAAAGGGAATTGTGAGAAAAAAACAAACAAACTCAAACAGGTAGCAATTTAAGAAGCCCTGATTCCAGCCACTAGGCATATTTCCCAGTGAGATTATGCCCTGCAAGCAGAAACTGGAGATAGAAGAAGGTACCTTGCAAAGAGAAGGAACAGTGAGGGGCTGGGGACACTGTCCTCCTTACAAATAGCGTGTAGACCTGGGAAACTTGGGGAGCCAAGCTCTGGGGGTAAGAGCTACCCCTGGAATAAACCCGAAAGTGGACAGAGCACCAGAAGCGCTAGACCTGGTCCTCACCAGCACAGCGTCTCCACTGCCAGCACGGTGCCTGGCGCGTAACAGGCACTCAAACGCCTACCAGTGAATGACTGAGGGAGCAAACATTTGTAGAGCTTTTTTCCTCTTGTTTGCGGTACCTTCATTGACCCAGGAAGAAAGATTGGCAAGGTATTATTTTTATTTTACATATCTAAAAATATTCCAGTCAGAAGTTCCAGACTGGTCCAAGGCCCCTTAACACAGGTCCCCTCTACCTTTGCTGATACACTGGCCCCATGAATCCTGCCTTATATACATGTGGTGTTTCATAATTCTCAAAGTCCTTGGAGGAGCAGTTGTGAAAATAATCCCTTAAGACATTTAGGACAAGGATGAATTACTTTCCCATTTTTTCAAAATAAATGGGCTGAACTTTGATGGATTCATTGGCTGTAATAGCTTTGCCTGGGTCAGAACTCTGGTGTTTGGGGTGCAAGGTCTGAGAGTTTTCTGAGATTGGGCTGTATCCCACCTGGGCCAGAGAAAACCTGCAGCTCTCTGCACCTCCTGCCCCCTCTCCTAGCAGAGAGCAGGGAACAGCTGTGGGAAGTAGGGAAACTTGAGCTCCAGAGTCCAGTTCAAAGTGGATCAGATGTACCGGGGAACCATGTACAAAAGTACATCGAGACAGTCCTACCCCCATTGTAGGCTTTTTTGAGCTCTTCAGGGAGGGGGGGTCCCTGGAGACGAGGGAGCTGGTGGGAGGCAGCCCAGGTTTTGCCTGAAGATTCCTCTGGTGTCTCAGATTCATCTCACTTTCCACTACCCACCCTCCTGCCAGCAGTGGAAACCTTAGCTTAGCTGCCAGATGTTACCTGATCCTCTGGTCCAGCAGCCCTGGGGAAGCATGCTGGCCTTGGGAAGCAGACCCAGAGAATCTTCTCCTTACCTGGTGAATGGCTTAGGCTTCCCCTGCTTCTGAGAGGCTCACGGCTGCCAGGCTGAGCCCTGCTCTCTGACTCACCAACTCCTCAGCCCCCTCCTCCTCCTCCTCCTCATTCCTCTTCCTCCTCCTCCTCATTCCTCTTCCTCCTCCTCCTCATTTCTCTTCCTCCTCCTCCTCCTCATTTCTCTTCCTCCTCCTCCTCCTCCTCCCTATTTGCATATCTGTCTGTTTCACTGCCCTCTCCCTTCTGCTGAGGAAAAGACCCACCTCGCAAAACAGGCCTGAGAAAGCCCTGGCTCCCTGGAAAGTGCGACATTAGCAGCTTTGCCACCCACGAGACTCAAGGGGTGTGGAGACGACTCCTAGTGGGCTCGGAAAAGCAAAGGAGGAAGCATTCTCCTACCTGGCCGGGAGACAATCCTGGAATGTTGACTCCTCTGAGACAGCAGAAGGTCGACTCCCTTGGGACCCGTGCAAGAGGAGCCGGCTGGGCTGGCGAGCAGGCAGATGAGGCTGAAAGGGACGTCAGCCAGCAGCTGCAGCCACGTGCCCACAGGACCTTAAACCTTCCTCTCCCCTCTTATTCTTACGTGTGAGGAGAAAATGTGGAAGTTATTTCTGCTCTCCACCTGCTTGCTCACTCACTCCACCCTGGGGAGGTAACATTTCTCAGCCTCTGTGTCATATCTAACATCATTACGCCTCCCGTAAGAGGCAATAAATGTGTTCTGGGAGTTCGGGTGGAGCTGAGGAGAAAGTTCGCCCTTAAGGAAAAAGGAAATGTCTTTAAAGATGGTAACTTGTTAGTTACCATCTTTAGCCCTAGAGAAAATAAAATGCTTGCTCAGAGCTACTTACTGTATGTGGTTGTCACCAGACTAAAACAATAGATGCACAGGAGTGGTGTAAATTGTGACGGAGTTGTGGAGCTAGACTGTCATGTCACAGGTCTGGGCGAGTCATTCTATTTCGCTGAGCCCTAGATTATCACCGTAAAATAAGGATGAAAAAAAAAATCTTTTGTTTTTTGTTTCTGGGGATTGACTTAAGGCTTTTGCACTAGTTTACAACCCCAGCTTTAATTTTTTTTTTTTTTAAGTTTTAGACAGGCTCCGGCTAAGCTGCCAGGCTGTGCTTGAACTTTTGATTCTCCTGCCTCAGCCTCCCAGAATGCTGGGATTACAAGTATTCATTTATCTGGCAACACCTACCTTATAGTATGGTTCTGAACTGTAGGATTCATACACACAAAATCCCTAACACAATATTATGACAAAAAGTGTTTTAAAGTGCTAGTTATTGTTAAATAATAATATCTCTTTTTCTTACCCTGCCGCTGGCACGTTTTCCAGGCTTCAGAAGAGAGAGTGGAGCAGGCGCTGGGTGACTTCTGGGACCTTCTCCAGAAGGATCTGGCGGGCTGCCCTCGGGCCTTATCATTGCACAAGCGACCAGAACCTGTGAAGGCTGCCTGCTATTGATTTCAATTGTGCGTCTCTTCCTTCCTTCCTGGTTCTTTCTGGCGCAGAGAGTTCGCTTTTCCTCCAAGGAGTTCTGTTTTATAGAGTTGTGGATGTGGATTGAAGATCTATACATGGGCAGCTGGTGGTTCTGCTTTTATTCTTATTTTAAAAGTCATACTCTGGGCTGGTGAGATGGCTCAGTGGTCTAAAGCACCTACTTAGAACAAGCTTAGCAAAGCACAGGGACTGCGGTTCAATCCCCCAGCACCACATGCCAGCCAGCCCCGCCCCCTGGTGGGCTGAGCTGGCCACACACACACACACACACAAATAAATTTTTTTTAAAAAGTCATACTTGTTCAATATAAAAAGTGGGTAAGGCTCTCTTCTTTGGCGCTGCCTGCGGAGGCGGCAGCCATCTCCCACTTGCCACCATGGCGGCCCTCAGACCCCTCGTGAAGCCCAAGATCGTCAAGAAGAGGACCAAGAAGTTCAACCCACACCAGTCAGACAGCTTTGTCAAAATGAAGCGCAACCGGCAGAAACCCGGAGGCATCGACAACAGGGTGCGGAGGAGGTTCAAAGGCCAGATCTTGGTGCCCAACATAGATTACGGAAGTAACAAATAGACAAAGCACACGCTGCCTAGTGGCTTCCGGAAGTTCCTGGTGCACAATGTTAAGGAGCTGCAGGTGCTGCTGATGTGCAACGAGTCTTACTGCGCAGAGATTGCTCACAACGTCTCCCCTCAGAACCGCAAGGCCATCGTGGAAAGAGCAGCCCAGCTAGCCATCTGAGTCACCAATACCAACGCCAGGCTGCACAGTGAAGAAAACGAGTAGACGGCCTGTGTGCATGTTTATTTGTGCTTCGGTAAAACCACAAAAAAATAAAAAATAGAAAAAATAAAAAGTGGGAAAGATAAAACATATACAAGGAAAGAGGGTGTAAATCCCAGTACAGGCTACTGCCCAGAGAAAATGACCGTTGCTCATTCCCCCCATGCCTGGAGCATTCTGTATAACTGAAGTCATATGGAAAACCATTTTGTACTTGTTTTCCATTTGGATTTGCTGTAAAATAGTTTAAGTCATGAAATGCCATTAAGGCACAAAGGTACAACCTTACTGGGTGTAGTGGATCCACTGCAATGCCAGACTCTGGGAGGCTCAGGGATAAGGTTCCAAGTCCACTCAGCCTGGGCAGTCTAACAAGATGCTGTCTTTACAATTCACAAAGAATACAGCGTAAATAAAGGAACTACGGCTTAAGTAAAAACAAAACCTCACAAGCAAACCTTGTCAAAGCACCTCCTCATCCCTTTGCTCAGGCGGCTGCCTCGGGAGTAACGAGTCTTTGCTTGTGCATATAGTGACCACTTTAGACAAGTTGGATTTTTCCCCACTGTGACCTTTTTTGCCATGCATATTCTTCTGAGCTTTCATTTCTTAAATTTCACAATAACTCTTAAGATTCATCTTAAATTGTTATGCTTTTCTTGCTTGCTGTTATTGGTATATCATGTTATGTGTGAGGCCGCACTGCTGCTTGGGGTGTATCCAGTTAATCAATTTTGAACTCGTTTATAGTTCTGACTGAACCCTTTTCCTTTCTCCTTTCCTCCCGTCCTCCCTCTCTCCTTTCCTTCTTCCTTTCCTTCCTTTCTTTTTCCTGTACTGGGAGTTGAATCCGGGGAAGTGCTCTTCCACTAAACTACACTCCCAGTCCTTTAAAAATTATTTTGGAGGGCTGGCCAAATAGCTCAGTGGATTAAAATGTCTGGAAGCAGGCACAGAGGCTGGGAGTTTGATCCCCAGGCCTGCCATGCTGGCCCCGCCCCCAGGGTGCCCTGAGCTTGCAGTTGAGACTGGGTGTGGTAATCCCAGTTCTTGGGAGGCTATAAACAGGCGGATCACTATGAGTCCAGTCTAGTAGTGAGACCCTGAA